GTGCGCGGAGGGTGGGAGGAGCCACCGGGGGGTGGGCGTATTGGCCGACGCCCTCCCCCTCACTGCGCAGCAGCTCGTATGTGCGCGGCCACCTCCTCCGGGGCTGTTCGCCGCGTCGCCGCTGAAGCCGTTATGCCCTTGGTCACCCTAACCTGGTCCTAGAGTAGCCCTGGCCGTGCCCTCTAGCCCTTAGCCACCCTTCTGCCCGCCAGGTACATCCCCGTGCGCGGGCAGCGCGCGTACTGCGACGCGGTCCGCAAGTACTCGGGTGCCCAGGGCCCGCAGGCGGGCGTCGACATCCCCGACTTTGTGGAGGCCACCATCTTCAGCAAGCACGAGGCCGTCGTCATGCTGGGTGACTTCAGCGACGGCGACCTGCAGCTCCCCGTCAACCACATTGCCGCCTGGTATGCCGTCGGTGCCGGTCTACGTAACGGCATAAAGTGTTTTCAGATAATCATCACATTGTTTACTTTCGTGCATTTCTTTTAAGACTTTATTTGTTAATTTTTCTCTAAATTGCTCAGGTACAAGCCGTGGTGGTACAAGTACGTGGAGGGCATCCTGCGCGCGGGCCGCGAGCACACGGAGCTCGTCCCGATGCGCGAGTACCTGCTGCGCCACAACCGCGCCATCTTCTGGGTCGTGGAGGACATGCTGCCCAACGGCAACCACCCGCTGTTCCGCGCGCTGCTCGGCTGGCTGCTGCCGCCCAAGCCCGCCTTCCTCAAGTTCACCACCACGCCCGGCATCCGCGCCCTCACCTTCGCCAAGCAGGTGTTCCAGGACATCGTGCTGCCCGTCGAGGAGCTCGAGCAGCAGGTGGACACGAGCGAGCTGCTGTTCGACTCGTACCCGCTGCTCGTGTACCCGTGCCGCGTGTACGACCGCGGGCCGCGCTCGGGGCAGCTGCGCCGCCCGCCGCCCAAGTACCTGGTGCCCGGCACCGACTACGCCATGTACAACGACCTGGGCGTCTACGGAGTCCCGGGCAAGGTGAGGCCACCAACAACAATCTCTTACCACGAGAACGGGTGTTTCTTCGGCGTTGAGGTGTCCCACGATCCTAAGATAGGTGTACCACGAGCTGGCGAGTTGAAGCGAGTAAGGCGCGTATTGGGCCCAATTCTCGCGAGTTTTCGCGAGCTGGTCGCGACTTGGGTGCGGGCAAGTGTACAACGAGTGCCCCCCCCC